TACTACGATGCAGAATCTGCGTCGACGAAACATGATCTCTCACGAAGTCAGTTTGATTCGTGACATCCGTGAACGAGAGTTCAAAATCTTCACCGATACTGGACGTGTCTGCCGGCCCCTCTTCGTTATCGATAATGATCCCAAGAGTGAGAATTCGGGTGGATTGGTCCTTAACAAGGAACACATTCGGAAGCTCGAGTCCGACAAAGACTTGCCAACAGACTTAGCCCCAGAAGAACGTCGTGAACAATACTTCGGATGGGATGGTCTGGTGCGTTCTGGAGCAGTCGAGTATGTCGATGCTGAAGAAGAGGAAACCATCATGATTGTCATGACACCCGAGGATCTTGAGATCTCTCGACAGCTCCAGGCCGGTTACGCTCTGCCAGATGACGAAACCAGCGACCCCAACAAGCGTGTTCGGTCGATTCTCAGCCAGCGTGCCCACACCTGGACGCACTGCGAGATTCACCCTAGTATGATCTTGGGTGTTTGCGCTAGTATTATTCCTTTTCCGGATCATAATCAGTCGCCGCGTAACACCTATCAGTCTGCCATGGGCAAACAAGCCATGGGTGTTTTCTTGACGAACTTTTCGCAGCGTATGGAGACCATGGCCAACATTCTCTACTACCCACAAAAGCCTTTGGCCACCACTCGGTCGATGGAGTTCCTGCGTTTCAGAGAGTTGCCCGCCGGTCAGAATGCTATTGTCGCTATTGCAACTTATTCCGGTTACAACCAGGAAGATTCCGTTATCATGAACCAGAGCAGTATCGATCGTGGTCTGTTCCGCAGTCTCTTCTACCGTACCTACGCGGACACTGAGAAGATGGTGGGACTGCAAGTCGTCGAGAGATTCGAGAAACCCATGCGGCTTGACACCCTTGGCATGCGCAAGGGTACTTATGATAAGTTGGACGAGGACGGCATCGTCGCTCCCGGTGTGCGTGTCTCTGGAGAAGATATTATTATCGGCAAGACAGCTCCGTTGGCTGCTGATGCGGAGGAGCTCGGTCAGCGCACTAAGGCACACACAAAGATTGACGTGTCGACGCCCTTGCGCAGTACCGAGAACGGTATCGTTGACCAGGTGCTGATCTCCACTGGTAACGACGACCTAAAGTTCGTCAAGGTTCGTATGCGTACCACCAAGATCCCCCAGATTGGTGACAAGTTCGCGTCTCGTCACGGTCAGAAGGGTACAATTGGTATCACCTACCGACAGGAGGACATGCCTTTCACTCGGGAAGGTGTCGTTCCCGATCTGATTATTAACCCCCACGCCATTCCGTCCCGTATGACCATCGCTCACTTGATCGAATGTCAGCTCAGCAAGGTTTCCGCTCTTCGTGGATTCGAGGGTGATGCTACTCCTTTCACTGATGTCACTGTCGACTCGGTCTCCCGTCTGCTGCGCGAGCACGGCTACCAGTCGCGTGGCTTCGAGGTCATGTTCAACGGCCACACTGGTCGCAAGCTGGTGGCGCAGGTGTTCCTGGGTCCCACCTACTATCAGCGTCTGCGCCACATGGTGGATGACAAGATCCACGCTCGTGCTCGTGGTCCTACTCAGATTCTGACCCGCCAGCCTGTGGAGGGTCGTGCCCGTGACGGTGGTCTCCGTTTCGGAGAGATGGAGCGTGATTGTATGATCGCCCACGGTGCCAGTGCTTTCCTGAAGGAGCGTCTCTTCGACGTTTCTGATCCGTTCCGTGTTCATATTTGCGACGATTGCGGCCTGATGACACCAGTTGCGTGAGTTTTCCAGTCCCCACTTTATGCCTTTTCGTCGCACAGAAAACTAACTGTCCTTATAGGAAACTCAAAAAGGGTCTTTTCGAGTGCCGTCTTTGCAACAACAAGCACCGTATCTCGCAAGTCCATATCCCCTACGCTGCCAAGCTGTTGTTCCAAGAGCTGGCCTCCATGAACATTGCCGCTCGGATGTTCACCGATCGCTCTGGGGTTTCGGTGCGTTGATCTACGGTTGCTCAATTCTTCACATTTGTATTTTAATGATCTTGCTGGAAAAATGCGCATCTGCTTGGCCTGTTTCGCGGCGTCTCGGGGGATAGTTGGCCATCGCATTACAATAACCGGCCCTACATACTTGAATTTAGACACTGCCATGTGTGTTTCTTTCCACCAGTCCTAGATCGGTAATTCATGTTAAAGCTCCAACGCATTTAGCAACACATTTAGCACATCTATACTCCTGTTTTCTGTAATACATGCCTAACTTTGACCAACTTTGTCTCCTGTCGTCATACACGTCTGAGCTAACTCGCATATTCATCCCACGTACCCAGGAATACCATCTCCACAAAATACCCTACTAGTGGCCCCAAGCGTTGTTCGCAGGGTGCCTATTACAGACAGGGTGGTCATAGAGCGTTGCATTTAATAAGGGTTTGCTACAATGACAAGAACCTTTTTATCTACAGTGAACATGGACGCAGGTCATATCTCATTATTCATTGGTATCTCAGAGTAAGACCTGAACCAAAGCATGAACAATTGTTCGTCCATGACATCTGGCGATGTTCTTTGGTTGGCGAGATACCGTTTTTCATCTTAGTCAGGCCTCCTTTGGATCCAGGAGGCTTCAGGTCAGATCTTGTCATCTTATGGCTTGGGCTGGTCAGTCCTTGACCGGCTCAAGATAAGCTTGCCGGAGTCCACGAGGCTGGATGGGATCCAGGGTGGATGTTGTCCACATCGAAATATTGTATTCGATGGCTTGTTCTTCTTCTCTTCGTCTCCTCTTCCTCATCTTCCTCGGTCCGCTTCTTTCTCCTCCCCTCCTCTCACCACACAATCATCATCCCCGCCCAACCGCAGCGTGAAACCAGTTCACCCACGGCCCGGGCTGTTTTTGGTAAATTTATAATTTTTAGAAAATCAAAACAAACGCAATGACCAAGTCTCACCAGACCAGAACAAGTCAAGCGCAAGAAAAATAGAGCAATCAACCTAGCAAGGTCCAAGACCTGCCACGAGATACACATCTACCGACGGACAACAATACCCTGACGACGAACAGCGTTACGAGCACGGCAGTACTCCTCATCACTCTCGTACTCGGACTCAGAGCAGCTATCATCAGAAGACTCAACGTATCCGCAGCGCGAACCACCACAGTCAAGCTTGACGCGGTCACCCTTGCGAGTAATACCGTAGCGCTGGCAGCGGCAGTGAACAGGCGGCTCACTCATAGACGAGAGCGAGGAAGGCGAAGTCGAGCCGGACGACCGCGACGAAAGAGATGACCCCGCAGAGCTGGGCGGGCTGTTCGAGTACGAGTACTCATCTGACAGACGGGAGCCGGCGAAGCGGCGGGTCAGGTCGTCGACGGTCGGGGCGAAGTCTGCTTCGCGGAGCTGGCGCGAGGCGTAGTGCTTTGTTGGCTTTGGGTGCTGGATGCGCGAGGGGGACAGGGCGCGGCCCGTTGCGATGTTTCCGCGGCTGGTCTTGGGTGCGGATCGGCTTGTTGGCTTGCCGCCCGGAACATCGAGGATGTTGAGCTTGCGGCCGGTGGTCGGCTCCACGGTGTATTCGACGGCTGGGTCGTGCGAGACGTGGTACCCGTCCATCATGTAGTAGTACCAGTAGCGGCCTCCGAGTTGGAGCATTGAGGTCTGGAAACGGAATTTGCCAACCCAGGCGCCGGGCTTGCCTTCGCTGGAGAGCGGGATCTGGCGTTGATAGTTGTCCCATGAGCCGACGAGGTGGACGGTCTTGACGTTGGACGAGGTCCGGAGGGAGAACTTCAGTTGAACGGCGGCCATGATGAATCAAATGTATCAAAAAAAATTGAGTTTAAAAAGGTTGTCGTAGAGAGCAAAAGATCAAGAGTATCGTATAGTTAAAACAACCTAAAACTGCCGGAGTTTTGGTTGACAAGTTGATTGGGATATTGGACTCTTTGATCTTTCGGGAACCGGTCCGACAAAGAAAGAAGAATAATCGAGCGAGATTATATTAAAGTGAGTTTGTTGTAGATATCTGTTAGACAGCGAAATCAAGTCGACCGGCGACAAGTTAACTGTTAATAGTTGTAAAATTCGAGGAAATCCGTAGCAAGGCAGAATCTCTCAAAGAGCACAGCTCGTTTGAGGGCTAAAAGGGCAAAAAATTAGAATAGTATAGAAGATAAATAAAGAAAAGAAAAGGTCCAGGCAACCAGTGCTCAGGATCACTCGAATAGGGCAGATAAACACAACAAACACTCGCTGAAGAAAAAAGAGAAGAAATCCGCCTCGAGGTGGCTATGGCATTCTTTTAAGCAGATCGATTCGATCAGCAGTGCAGAACCCATCTGGAGGTGGGCGGGTAATTGACGATGTTGGTTGGTTCGATGCAAGTTGCACTGTGATGTGCTGCCTTCATGGTTGTGGCCAATGACTGACCGGGATTTGGCGCTGGCGCTCGGACCAGAAGAGGAGAGAGTTTTCTTATACGAAAGGCCATTGTCCAAACAGGTTCAGGGATTTGAAGTCTGAAGAAGTTGTCAGCCTCACAGATGAATTGTGGAGTGGGGGGTGGAGGGGTATGTGTTGTCATTGCCATGTCTAGACTGTTGAGAGCCTTGAAAGCCTATGAAGTTGGACCTTTCCCACTCCCCCACCTTGTCAGGTAACCCTGTGGGTATGAGAATGTGTATCTCAGGCCAATACTCCGTATAGAGAATCGGCACAGGATTTCAAAGGATCCTGCTGTGTGTTAATGTACTCCCCGACATTGGAATATTCCGAGTCAGGGACGTCACCAGGCCTTCCTAATTGTAAATGCGCCGAGACTAAGACGCGGGATGGGATGCATTAGACCTATTCAATCAGAGGCCGCATGCTGACAGGGATGTTGACAGGATATTGACAAGGGTATGGACAAGGGTAAGGTATCGTGCCATGTGGTGAAGTGCCGACCTCCCTTTCCGCCTTTCCGAGTTGACACTGCTAGGGTTTGACGACCGGCTTTTCCGAGGTTCGCCCAAAGACATGTTTCGTCAAGACATCTCCACTACCAAAGGCGACGAAGTTGCACCGTGCGGAAGGCGGAAGACGAGCGTTTCGAAGCGCGGCCAGCTTGCGCCTACACCGCTGTCTGCAATTCCCTCTATATATTTCAATAAGGACTTTCACCTCGAGAATCCGCGCATTTTCGATGTTGTCAGTGAGCATACGGAGGTTGTAAGGCAGCCACTGTCCACCATCGGAGAAGGTGATGACATTGCTGCAAATGGTGACCCGCAGCCTACTAGGAAGACGCTTACTACCTATAGCATCTTGCAAGAGAAGCTATCGTGGTACATAGACACTGTAGAGATTCATTTGGTATTTTCGATTTCGCAAGCGTCAGCCTCTTTTTTCGCCGCGCTCGGCTCCCTTCGTGAACTCCAGGCCGAGGCAGCCGACTCTGTCACAAAGATCCAGAAGCTGAGGAAGGACCTCGCGCATTTGGACAAAGAGATGGTAGTGCGCGGTTTTGAGATCATCAGCTCGAAGCGAAGACGGGACAATCTGACAAAGCTGGGCGAGGCTACCAAACAGCTTCAATGTGTCCTCAGCGGTGCCAGTCATTGCGAGGAACTCGTAGACTCTGGGCGGCTGGAGACGGCAGTGCAACATATCTCGTACGTCGAACAGCTTGCATCCGGAACGCTGGATCCGAAAATTGGCGGCGAGTTGCATTGGTTGCTGCCGAACCCATTCATCAGGCTTACCGATCTACGCCGACTGCACGCTATTGGAGGACTGCTGCGAGACATCGACCAGCTTCGCCTGCGGATTGGGAAAGGTTATGAAGCCCGATTGCTGAACGTCCTTTTGGGCGACCTGCGCCGACATGTGTCCGACGCACCGCCCAGAGACACTCTGGCACGCTGGACAAAACGCGCACGGGGCGTAACGGATGCCTCCTCATCGACATCCATGATGATGGCAGAAAAGCTGCGCGAAGAACTCATCCCTGTTCTGCAGGGCCTTGGCCAGTCGCAGTATCTAACTGCAGCAAACACCACGTTTCATGAAGCTGTCATCCGAGAAATGAAGTCTCTTATACGCCAGCACTTGCCGAGCTCTACTGACGACGATAGTGAGTCTGTCACGTCTGCATCCGCGCGGGCAAGCGGTCGACGTCCGACCCAGCAGGAAATGTCGAGCATTCTGTCTCGCAATTTGCGTGCTCTCAGTCCCGAGGATGCCGAGGCGTTCTTCGTCAAGGTCTACTGCGGGATAGGCGAAGCATTACGGAGGCTTAGTGTACAGGTCAAGGTTCTCCTCGATATCACAAGCAGCATGAAGACTTCAAGCAACCTACTCACTCCGGTCCAAAGCCCGGGAAGCAAGGGCAATCCGGCTGTCCCTTCGCCCAGCCTTTCGATGGGATGTAATTTGCAGGAAGAGATAACTCAAGCCCTTGACATGTCGAGCCTCCTCGTACAGGCAGTGGACAAGTCACAATCAGAGATCACAAAGGTGCTGCGAGTCAGAACCGAGCAAACGGTTTGCCTTGGATTGACCGATTTCCTAGGCTACTTCACGCTGAATCGCCTGTTTGTCAATGAATGCGAGGCAGTCTCTGGACACTCTGGAGAGGCCCTTAAAGGCGTCGTGAACAACCAAATTCACGACTTTATCCTGCTTCTGCACGAAGTAGAAAAGCAAAAGCTGGTGCAAAAGATGGAGTCTGAGAAGTGGGAGCGCATCGACTTCAAGCCCCAGGACGCATTGATCCTGGCGCACATTGTCCAGTCCATGACCACTGATCCCCCGGCATGGCTCGGTTGCACAGATGTCAGTACCGCAGGCCTGGAAGCAGGCGAACTGAATTTGCAGAAAACCCGCACCCCTGCGGAGCCGACGAGTGCTGCTAAGCAAAATAAGAAAGACCCGACACTGGCGGTCATCGAGGGCGAGAAGTTTACGCTCGTTGATTCGGCAGCATTTGCGCTTCGCAGTATAGAACAATACACAATCCTGCTGGCATCGGTCCCCGGCATGGTCAACGACATCTCCACGCTCCTACTCGACTATCTCAAACTGTACAACTCTCGCACACAACAGCTTATTCTCGGTGCCGGCGCTAAAATACCAGCTGGGCTGACCAATATCAATACCAAGCACCTTGCCCTTGCCTCGCAGTCGCTGTCCTTCTTCATTGCTCTGATACCCTACGTGCGTGAGTGTGTTCGTCGTCGACCATCCATCACAGGCTCCGGCATGGCAGAATATGACCGGTTGAAGCGCTTATTCCAAGACCATCAGTCCACTATCCACGACAAGCTGGTCGACATAATGAGTCTTCGCGCGACCGTTTGCATCAGAGAGATGAATAAGATCAAGTGGGATGACGAAGATGAGGTGCAGAGGAGCGTCAGTCCACACATGGAGACGCTCACGAAAGAGGCGCTCACGCTACAACGAGTGCTGAGCAAGTACCTGCCTGCGTTGAACGTGAGCGTGATTGTCGGACAGGTCTTTACGAACTACAAGGAGCAATGGAGTAAGGCTTTCGAAGGTGCGGCGATACGGACCGAGGCCGGAAAAGCGAGGTGAGCCTCTTCCTCGAGAACATGTCGTTGCTGGCTAACCAATGTGTAGGCTTCTGCGAGATGCGGAGCTCCTTGAATCAAAGCTCGGCAAGATTGACGGCGGAGAAGAGCTCGGCGCGCACATAATCAATATTATCAAGGCGAAGTAGGTCGCATCCCGGCCATAAACAAGCACGAGCGAGGGCAGGCCCGCGTAAGAGCGAAACGCCATATACCAAAAGGAAAGGCCGAAACCGCATAGCAAATACTCCACGCCAAAAAAAAAAAAATGAAAGTGGCCTTCACGGGGCTGCTGGGCGGGCGAAAGCACGGCTGCGATGGAGCTAGCACCGTGGCTTCGTCAGGGAATTCCTAGATCGGATAAAGAAATCAAAGCCTTCGGAATCATCCATAAATATCCTTTGGATTGAAGAGCTTGGGTGCGCGTTGAATTGATAATAGTCTGTTACATGTTTGGTCTCCAGCGCTGGTATTGCGGTCCGTCGCAGTAGGAGAATTTCTATCATAATCTTCGTCGGCCGGTCGGCGAAAGGAGCTATATTGACGAAAATATGCAGATCATATTGGAAGAACGAGGGGAAGGATACAATAAATTAGGATAGAACGAGACCGTACTGCATTTTTAATGACATCCCCGTAGGGCGCAAGGCAGGTCTTTATACCTTGTGTCTGGACTATAACGGCTTATTTCCCTCCAAAATGAGTAGAGAGATCTAGTGGTAAAGATTCTATGTGCGGTGCGCGGCTCACTAACTATAGTTTATGTAGATTCAATCTTGATCTCTTTAATTTCATCTTATTCGAATTCATGGTATAGTTAGCTATTATATGCTCTATGGAAAACACAATTACGTACACGGTCTTTTCACAGTGACGTCATACAGCATACTTTTTTCGGTGGGCGGTCTGGACAGATAGCGGGTTTGCAAGCCACAGCCAAGAAAATGATTCTCCATGGTGTTAAATAGACACTAGATTTATCCAAGTACTGACGGCACAAGTCTAGATACGGTGAGAAATTTGGGTCGGTTCGTGGGGTGAAGCTCAAAGAACGAAGGAAAGGCCAAAGCTTATTCCCTGCCTGAGGCGCAAACAAGAAGTCACGGGAGGGTACGTCGAGTAAGCTGGCAAACAGGGGCGGTTGATTCCCTTGGCGGCTCCCTCCCTGTTGGCTTTGACTTTCGCGACTTTTGATTATTCGCTGAAAACGGCTTTTACAAGGCACAGAATTCGCACTCACTGATCTAGGAGCTTGAGGGAAGACTCAAGCACGAGAAGAGGCAGGACGGTGATGTAGCCCAACACACCGTGTTTTTCCCTCAGTCCTTACTGCGACTTAGGGCGACGCGATCGACCCAGCCAACCGGGTTGATTCACGAATTCACCCTGTCTGAATTTGTTGTAGTTGTCCGCCAGGCGTCGGAAAGACCTTCACTGTCGAGGCAGCTTCGCAGTACTTCAATCTTCCTCTCTATTCCGTAAGCATTACCCGTTTTCTCAATATAGGCTTGCTAGCGTACCTAGATATCAGCCGGTGACGTTGTTGTCTCTTCCGCTGATTCCGCCGTGCTCGAGCAAAAACTCGAAAAGATATTCAAGATTGCCAAGCACTTCGACGCCGTTACTCTCTTGGACGAGGCTGACGCGTTCATGGAGCAGCGCAAATCTTATCATGATACTCACAATCGCCTTGTGACCGTTTTCTCCGAAAGCTCGAGTATTTCCGGGGCATCCTTTTTTGATCTAGAGCCTCGTGGACCGTTTCACTCGGACCAAAAGCTCTGGAATGCTCTAGCCCTTCTTTTCGCATGTTGCTGCAGTCTAGCTATAAAACCGAGAAGGGGAAAGATATCTAAGAAAAAGCACAACCAAGATGATCAAAAGTACCACCAAAAGTTGTACCAAGAACGCCATGACAAGGCGGCATAAGTTGCGAACTATTCTTGTTCAAATAAATGTAGAATGTTTAACGTAAACTGTCAGACTGGGATACGGCCCCCCAAGGCTATAAACAGGAACCTTGGTTTTATTTATGGTCTAGTGGTAAAATGCCGTATTTTTATAGACGCTTATACTTCGGACGTCCACGACGCCCGCCCACCAACCCTAAAATGAGTCATCAATGAGTCAGCATACCTTCGAGTGGACCCGTGGACCCGTGGACTGGACTTCAACCAATTTGTTCCCCATGATAGGAGTCTGAATATCGACGCGAGAAAAGGCCAGGCGTTTATCTGGTAACCAAAGTTCGGCACAATAAGGCAGCATCGGAGCAAGGGCTCACATCGAACCCAGTTGAGCTGCACATCACTCTCAGCATCCCAATAGAAGCCACCTACAACCCGCCCTGCGACCCAATCCAAAATGGCACATGGTGCGGAGGACTGCGCAACTGTCCTGGACCAGTTCGTCCACGACGTGGCGAATCTTCCGGCTGAGATCAACCACCTTATGGAGGAAATCCAGGCCAAGGACAAGGTTATGCAGGAGTGCCGCGCTACAATCAACTCGCGCGATAGCAGCATCCAGAAGTTCATCAAACTGAACGGCAGTTTAACGCCGAACCCAAAGGAAGAGCAATACAGCAAGATTATCCTACAGAATATGGATAGATCCCACGAGCTGCAGAACGAGAAGATCCAGCTCAGCGAGAAGGCATGCGTCCTCCTTGATCGCCAGATCAAACGACTGGACGTGCGCATTCGTGATCTAGTCAACGAAGGCCTCCTCACCAACGATCCGCCTCTCCCTTCCCTGTTCGACTCGAAAAATAAATACCGCAACCCACCAAAGATCTTCCTCCCAGACTCCACGCCCTCCGACTCCCCCGCCTACTCAACTCCCCTCAACCCGACTTCCGGAAACGCGAATCCTATCCTGGCTGCTGCGCAGCGCTTGAACCAATCCACAACTCCCCGCCCCACTGCCTCTACCTCTGCAGCCCAGCTCGGACAAGTTGCGGCACGCAGCTCCGCACCGGCTACTCCGGCAGCGGCGGCCGTCGTACACCTCCAGCAACGCCAACGCGAATCCTCCGCCGGGGCAGTGGACAGCAAGCGCCGCCGCTTGAACCCATCCCTCAACACCCTCCCCGCAGCGTCTTCAAATCTGCGCCAGTCCTCTATGGGCCCTGGTACACCGAAGCCTGGTACACCGGCAGGCAGCCGTGCAGGCAGTGCCGGGCCCCGTTCTAGCATCGGCACCAAGAAGGCACTGACCAAGAAGGTCGCGCCACACCAGCAAGTCAAGAAGCTGAAGACTGCCAGCGGAAAGCCGATCAAGCGCTCTTCCAGTGCTAGCGGTCGCATCAAGATTTCGAAGAAATCTCCCAATGGAGAAGGCGATGAGGATGATGACTCCATGCTCAGCAGTGCTGATACATCGGACTCTGACAAGAGTGATGGTGTTGCTGAAGATGATGTCGACGATGAGGATGAGGACGAGGGTAACGAGGATTCGAAGGTCTATTGTACCTGCCGCACTGTTAGCCATGGGGATATGGTGGCTTGCGACAATGATGAGTGTCCCTATGAGTGGTTCCACTGGAAGTGTGTTGGCTTGACGCGCGAGCCAGTTGGGACTTGGTACTGTGATGAGTGCAGGCGTACTCTGGGCAAGTGATTCTCTATTCTCCTCTTTTTCTATGATCTGTATGACGGTTGATATACCCACGGCGTTTGAGGGACTTTGATGGCGTTGGGCTGGACTGCGTTGGACGAAATTATCTACTTGTCACTAGTTTTACTACATAATTTCGAAGTTGTAAACGGAATCAATTCATATTCTGCCTATTCTAGACAAAAACTGACACTAATCCCCAAGGGAGGACACGAAGCAGAGATTCCCGGTAGGTATCCATTCCCAGCTACAGCCACGCGTATGTCCAAGCCGTGCCCATCCAGCGCCCAATATTCCCAGGGTCACCAGTGAGCCGGAGCCTAACCAAATCAAGTCGAAAACGCCATCGCTATGCACATATCCCTTTTTTATTTCTTCCATGCAAACATGTTGGCACACGGGCGCACACAGTGCGCCGAAAGTCAGAAATCAGAAATTCGTGGAAAAGCCAATGCTCGCCAATCCACTCAGAACCCAAGCCCATTGCTCAGCCAGGGATCAAAGTACTCGCAGGTCTCCGGGCTCACTGCGCCGCCTGGGGCACAGAGCTTGAACACTGGGCACTGGCCGCAAGGGGCTTCCGTCATGCCGTTCTTCACGAGGTGCTTGTTTGCAATGGAGAGATCGTCGCCCTCAATGGGCGCCTTGCGGGACTGGTTCGCTTTGACGGCTTCGGGGTTCTTGAGAGATCTGTACCATTCACCGTTGCCTAATGCGACAAGCTTGTTGTCGTAGCAGAGCATTTCGAGGAGTTGCACGACGCTCTCTTCGCCGAGGCGGACAGGCGTGATACCACTGTCGTTCACGGCCGAGGTGATCTGCGCCACTGTCGGGTATCCCGCGTAGCCGTGGGGGTAGGGGAGGTAGGTCTTCTCATCGGACCTGACCTCCGCCTTGCCGGAGGCGGTTTTGATGCGCTTCTTGCGGTCCGAGGCAGGGACTTCGAACCAACTCCTCCGACTAACGGTGTACTCGATGTAGCCTGCAACACTGTTGATGAAGTTGGCGTCCAGTACGCCGTCCGTGAACCAGGCTCCTCCGGTTACTTCTTCGCTCGGAGCAAGCCCGGCCAGCATGTACATCTTGCGGCTGGGGTATTTCACATTGTGGAGGGATTTGATGTAGTTTTTCCCTTCGAGGGATTTCAGGCATCGGTCAAGGATCGACTTGTGCAGGTTCGTGCGGTTTCCTATGTGCCGCACCCAGATGCCTGTTCGTTCTGTAGAGTGGATGACATTGTAGACCATGGCCTCGTCCGGGGTGAGGTTCCGGAGCCTGAAAGGGAGGATGGGTTAGTAATCTGCTTTATCAACAGAATGATGCGTTCAATTCCTACTTCTCGGCGTCTTCGCGGTCAATCAGCTTCCAAGTGAGCTTTCCATCTTTTTGGAGGAGCCGGAAGAGATTTTGATTGACGAGGCTCTGGGTGCATTCTAGCAGTAGCGCGACGTCGTTCTTTGGGATCACTTTGAGATTAAGGAAATCGTTCTGGTAGAACAGGTGATCGGGCTCAAATTCATTCACACATGCATCATAGAGCTTGGAGGCAAGCTCGGCCACTTGGGACCCCGCGGAGGCCATTGTTGCAGATGCGACGGAGATATCAGGCAAAATCAAGGTTCATTCGAAGAGGCTCGTGGTTTTTCATGTTCAAGGGAGGGTGGTAGAGCCAGGGAGTAAGTTAGAGGACCATGGTGCGTCGATGTCGGCAAATTTGAGTCACGCTTGAATCACCAATGGTGTTTTTTTGGGGACTTTTTCTCGGCGGGGACTGGCTTTGACCTAAAAGGGCTTAGCTCCGCGGAGCTTCAATGTCAGCTAAATGCCTGAGGTGTCAGTTGCCTGAGGCTTAATTTGTTGCTGCCTGAGGCGGTAGATAGCAACGGAAATTTCGAGAAGCTCCGGCCGATTGAGCTCATGACCTCAGCACTTCCTGTTCCTTGTGCTCTTGTTTTTGATCAGCATTCTCCTTTTTCCGAGCAACTTAGCATATCACTCCAAAATGGCCGACGCTTTGAAGGCAGAGGGCAACAAGGCCTTTTCTGCTAAGGACTATCCTACTGCTGTGTATGCGCTACCCCACCTTTAATATTCTTGACTCCGTCAAAGCAGAGACTGATAAAGATCAGCGAGAAATTCTCTCAGGCCATTGCCATCGAGCCCGAAAATCACATCCTCTACTCCAACCGCTCGGCTGTCTACTCCGCCCAGAACGAATACCAAAAAGCCCTCGAGGATGCCGAGAAGGCGATCCAGATCAAGCCCGATTGGTCCAAGGGCCATGCCCGCAAGGGTGCTGCGTACCGCGGTCTCGGAGATCTTTGTATGTTATTCTATTGTGCACAAAGTGATGGAACAACTTATATTGTGACAAGGTGCTAACTGACGCAAGTGGCTGCCCACGATGCCTATGAGGAATCCCTGAAGATCGAGCCTGGCAATGCACAGGCCAAGTCCGGTCTGGAGGCGACCCAACGCGCCATCAATGCGGAGGCTACCGCAGATGGTGTAAGCGGAGACCCAACAGGAGGTCTCGGTGGCATGTTCAATGACCCGGCTCTGTTCCAGAAGCTGGCCAACAACCCCAAGACCGCCTCCTTGCTGGGAGATGCTGAGTTCATGGCTAAGCTGCAGAAGATCCAACAAAACCCTAACAGCGTTGGGGAGGAAATCCGCGACCCGCGCTTCCTGCAGGTCATGAGTGTGCTTCTCGGTATTGATATGAACTTCGGTGGCGAGGGAGCGGAGCCTCCTACCCCGGCCGCCAAGCCCAGCACCTCGCAGCCCAAGAAGGAGCCCACCCCGGAGCCCGAGCCAGAAGACGAGGAGGCAATTGCCAAGAAGAAGGCCAAGGAGGCTGCCGATGCTGAGAAGACGGTCGGTAACGACTTCTACAAGAAGAAGCAGCTCGATGAGGCCATTGAGCACTACACTAAGGCTTGGGAACTCTATAAGGATATCACCTACCTGAACAACATTGGTGCTGCCAAGTTCGAGAAGGCCGATTACCAAGGCACAATCGAGACCTGCCAAAACGCTATCGAGGAGGGCCGCGACTTGCGCGCCGACTTCAAGCTGATGGCCAAGGCCTACACCCGGATTGGTTCTTCATACGAGAAGCTCGGCGACCTCGCCCAGGCCATCGAATTCTACAACAAGTCGCTCATGGAGCACCGCACCCCTGATACCCTGACCAAGCTTCGCAACGCCGAGAAGACTAAGATCACGAGCGAGAGGAACGCCTACATTGACCCTGCCGAGGCTGAGAAGGCCCGCGAGCTCGGCCAGCAGAAGTTCCAGGAAGGCGACTGGCCCGGTGCCGTTGACGCCTTCACTGAGATGACCAAGCGTGCCCCCGAAGACCCCCGTGGTTACTCCAACCGTGCCGCAGCCCTGATCAAGCTCATGGCTTTCCCCGGTGCCGTGCAGGACTGCGACGAGGCCATCAAGCGCGACCCCAAGTTCATTCGCGCGTACATGCGCAAGGGTGCTGCCCTGATTGCCATGAAGGAATACAACCGTGCCCTGGATACCTTCACTGAGGCCGCCGACCAGGACGACGGCAAGCACGCCCGCGAGATCGAGCAGCAACAGCAGAAGTGCCTGGATGCCCAGTTCAGTGCGCGCGCTGGTGAGACCGAGGAGCAGACCATGGCTCGTATCCAAAATGACCCCGAGGTAAGATCTGATATGCTCTGAACCTGGTTATTCAGCATGCAGTATACTAACTTTTTCTGTCCAGATCATGGCCGTCCTCCAGGACCCCGTTATGCAGAGCATTCTCCAACAGGCTAAGAGCGACCCCGCTGCCCTGCAGGAGCACATGAAGAACTCCCAGGTGCGGATGAAGATCCAGAAGCTGATGGCTGCTGGTGTTATCCGCATGGGGCGGTAAATGCTTTAAGGATGAAGAGCACTCGAAGGATTTGAATACGAATTGACACGATATATCTTTGACAGCATATTTTTTAGTTCCATATTGCTAAAATTCCATTCTGCTTACATGCATTGTGAGGTTCTAGGAGTAGCAGTGTCAGTAGTGAGTCCATAGTACTTGTCGAGGTCGTGCCATTCACCGCTTGCTGCAATTACTACATACATTGCACATTGCAATTGTTTATGTTGCGGCTATATCAACAGGTTTCCAGAAAATATATATTCTCTCAGTCGAAATTGAATTGTGTGTATGTCGTACTCCGTACAATATACAGTACCGGACACCAGCCACAACATGAATATTCAATTCTTGTAGAACCTCGGCCTCACTCGGGCCCGTGGGCTTTATCCCCAATTCCTCCGAAGAGAAAAAAGCGCCACACAAGTGGGCGAGTGGGGATTTCCAGTAAGAAAAAGAGATGATCTTACCGAACTACGTTAACATCACCATTGAGGGATTCAATATCCTGGATTTTATTCTATATTGTTGCACAGAACACAACACAATACACAGCTGACAGCTGGGGTGGAAATAGCCTCTCAGGACGCGGCAGACCAAGTGCAAGTCTAGGGGATGTGATATGATAGATCAATTCATTATGTAGTACTCCGTACTCCGTACATGGCTTGTCTATCACCATAGATAGTCCAAATATACTTTAGTATTTCTGCTGTATAATTTACGTACTCCGTGCGTACTCCGGAGAGGTTCGTCCGTATACGAAACCCATTCTCCATCCAAGAACATCTTTAGTGGATACAGATTTGGCCGATCTCCTAATCAGGAATAGGGCATGATGTGCGCTCGATAGTGTGGCGATGTGACGGGGTCTTCTTATTGCAGTCTGTGGATGCATGCCACGTGTACGAGATTGAGAGTCTAAATTACTTACAGAATAGACAATGACAGGATACTATACAAAATACAAAGTACAGAGTATAGGCGCTAAGATTCCCCTATATGTATATCTCGTTGCCTAAATAGGTGCCTAGGTAGGGCTGTGATTGCATAGCCACATACGGAGTACTCCGTACCAAGTCGAAATAACAATCTCCGCAAATACAAA